CGAAAATCCCCAAATCTTCACTGGTCCGTCGGTGTTTGAAGGATGTTCGCATTCTCGCTGTTTCGAGCTCTCGTCTGCTCAAGGCAGCCCCAGAAGCCTCCAAGATGGCTCCAAGCTGGCCAGAAAAGCACCCGAAGGGCCCCAAAACGGCCCAAGAAGGCGCCAAGATCACCCGCGACGGCCCTCAAAGTCCCCAAGAGCGCCCCGAGACGACCCAGAGAAGCCCCCAAGATGGACTCTTGAAGGTGCCCATACGGCCCAAGAGCGGCCTCAGACGGCACAAAGGAGCTCCCGAGAATCCCCGAGGCGCCCCCAAGGCGCCGTCAAGAAAACCCCAAAGGCCCCGTAGAACCCCTCAAGAGGCCCTCAGAAACTTCAAGAGGCCCCAAAAGTCACACTCGACGGCCTCCCGTGCCCCCCATCGAACAATTGCCACTCAACATGCTTGACTGGCACGCTGGCGGGACATGCCGCATGCAAATGTATATATATATATATATATAGGTAGATAGATAGATATGTACGTGGCCCTGCTCATGTATATGTACATGTATAGGTATATGCATATACATATGTAGGTGTGAATGGCTATGCCTATGCCTATGTCCATGTCTACGTCTATGTATACGTGTACGTAAACGTTTTATACGTATATGTACGACTGTGTTTGTAATGTATGTGTGGACACATTACGTATATATGCTTATGTGTGTAGATCTGTGTGTACTTGTACATATAAACATGTAAATGCATGTGCCAAGGACGACGGGAAAATGGAGTAGAGTACGATATGATGAAATATCTGGAAACAAAAATATGAGCTGACATGGGTGTGTATGAAGAAGGCTGGATAGGGGAGGTCAGACTTGCGGGGTACATCGTACTTACAAAATGCAAATCAGAGAGCATACGGCGAGGCTGGGGAGTAACATCTGCATCAGGTCTGGGGGGCCGAACGGTCATTCACTGTCCCTGGCCGCGTGGCTGAAGTGAAGTTCTGCAGTGCGGACTCTTGCTGTTGAGTGTTACCTACTAAACACTAATTATTGATGGACCCCCCCAGGCGCTTTGGCGCTCTCGCCTCGGCGCCGGCTACATTTCATTGAAAATGAAGATCACGCTCGAGCGTTTTGGGGGGGGCGCCAAGACGGGCTCCCCAACAACAACAACGCTCCCGCTCGAGACTTCCTCCTTTTTCGCTCAGGGCCAGTGCTTTTGCTCGCCGCCGAAAGCAGCCGTTCCAACGAAATCAGCGCCACCGTTCTAGATTTCCTCCCGTTTTACCTTTGACTGGCGCGCTAGTCTTTCTCTCATCGGCGCCGCCCCCAGCAACAACAACGCTCCCGCTCGACATTTCCTTTTATTTTTACTCAAGGCGGTGCCCATCCTCGCCGCCGAAAACCGCCGTCCCGACAAAACCAGCGCTCCCGCCCGAGACTTCCTCCCGTTTTACGCTGGACTGGCGCCCTACTCTCTTTTGAATTGGCGCCGCTCCCAGCAATAACAACGCTCCCTCTCGAGGCTTCCTCCCTTTTTCGTTAGGACGGTGCCTTTCCTCGCCGCCGACAACCGCCGTCCCGACAAAGCCAAGCTTCCGCTCGAGACTTCCTCCGTTCTTACTCAAGGCGGTGTTCCTCCTCGCCGCCGACAACCGCCGTCCCAACAAAACCAGCGCTCCCGCTCGAGACTTCGTTCTGTTTTACGCTGGACTACCGCCCTACTCTCTTCAGCATGTGCGCCGCTCCCAGCAACAACAGCGGCCCTGCTCGAGACTTCCTCCCTTTCTATTCAGGGCAAAGTCCTTGCCTCTCCGCCGACAACCCCCATCTCCACAAAGGCAATCCTGTCGCTCGATACGTCCTTGTCCTTTTTACCCTTGGCTGGGGCTCCACTGGCGGTCTCGCATCGGCGCAGCAAGGCGCGGGCATGCGTTTTCGAGGCGGGATATGTTGAAATTCGTCGGAGGTGTTTGCAAGACCTCATTGGAAAGGAAATCTGGGAATGCAAATAACGGACCCCGCTAGAAAACAAAAATCCCCATGATGGGGATGATCATCATGATGGTTCATGATAGTCGCATGCTTCGTGTGGAAGCATCGCGCATGAGGGTAAACTGATTGTTGTTGTTGCTGTTGTTGTTGTTGTTGTTGTTGTTGTTGTTGTTGTTGTTTGTTGTCGTCGCCCCTCCCGCGAACGGGCCCGCGACCCACCCGCCACCCACTGGCAACCCACTGGCAACCCACCCGCGTCCCACCCGCGGCCCACCCCGCGACCCACCCGCGACCCACCCGCGATCCACCCCGCGACCCGCCCGCGACTCCGCGACCCACTCGCGACCCACCCGCGACCCACCGCGACCTTCCCACGACCCACCCGCGACCCACCCGCGACCCACCCCGCGACCCACCCACATTGCTTAAACGAAAAATCGGCGCCTTCGGCGGGCATGCTGTATGGTTTTCAAAAAGTAGGCGCCTGCGGCGGGCTTCTTTAGAGCCTCGCAAACTGCCGACATCCTGCCCCCCGCTCACTCTTATCCGCGACTGCGGGGTGCTACGAACGTAAATATGATTAATATGTATGTGAGTATATACATATGTATAACTATACGTATACAAGCTCTGAACTCAAACATACGTTGATCTGCAGGTAGAAATAGGGAAACTTGCATTTGTGGATATACATGTCCAATAATTTGTAAAAGAAAACGCGCTTGCGTATGCATGCGCGGAGTTCATTGTGTCTACAGAAACGCCTACAATCTGTGCAACAAAGGATTACCCACGTATGGGCCAACAGTGCAGAACGATGTGTGAAGCCATGATACGCAAGCGGGTAAGATGTGTGTGCACTTACACACATATATATGTACATCTATATCTGCCGATATACGTAGATCTACATACATACACATGGTCAACAAATCAAACGAGAGAGAGCGATACAATAATAAAGAAGTACACCAAATAAAAAAACCCAATCAATTGATGGTTTGATCTATATAAAGAGATCGACCTGGAACCCGGGAACCCGGAACCCACCGAAATAGGCCCGGAACCAATAACCAGGAACCCGGGAACCCGGAACAGGGAACCTGGGAACCCAGCCGGTCACCAAAATCTGCGGGACACTTTTGCCAAATCTTTCAGTTTCCGCTAGGACCGCTTCAGTGCAAGCACTGATTGGGGAATATACCGATGTACATAATTTAAGTCGATTGAGTGAGATCCGTAAAGAAATCGACAGTGAAGTCGGTAGTGAGATCGATCGAAAATTCGATTGCGAGATCGATCATGGGATCGACGGTGAGACCGATAATGGAAAACGGTAGTGAGATCGATCATAAGTTCGGCCAGAACCCACCGAAGTCGGCCCGGAACCAATAACCATCGGCCCAGAACAAATGACCAGGAACCCGGGAACCCAGCGTGCGACCAAAATCGGCGGGACACTTTCGCCAAATCTTTCAATTATACCTGAGAGAACCTCATCCTTGGATGATTTGAAAATTAGTCATATGGATCCTGATATCGATTGTGAGATCGATAATGAGATCGATAGTGGAGTCGAGGACAATTGTAAGGTCGATCGTGAGACCGAGAGTGACATCGATTCAATGAGATCGGTAGGGAGATCGATCGCGAGATCGCTCGTGCGATCTCTAGTGAGATCGCTTGCGAGATCGATTGTGAGATCGATTGTGAGATGGATGGTGAGATCGATAGAAAGGTGGGAAATGAGATCGATGCTGAGACCGATCGATAAGAAGATCGACCAAGAACCCGGGAACCTGGAAACCTCGCTGCCCACCGAAATCGGCCCGGGAACCGGGACCCCGGAACCGGGAACCCTGGAACCCAGCGTGCGACCAAAATCGGTGGTAAACTTTCGCCAGATCCTTCAACCTCCACTAGGACCCCTTCAGTGCAAGCACTGATTGGGGAACTTCTGCGAGGACCCCTTCAGTGCAAGCACTAATTGGGGAACAAAAAGAAAGTGAGAGAGAGAGAGATGGCAAGCGTGGTGCGCAAGCGAGACTTACAAGCAATCCAGTGATAGTGGCGTCTCTCTTGTTTGAAGCTCTAACTATATGATTCCCATCTGGTTATGTAGGACCTCGTGAATGCTCGAATGATTGTGAAACCATCACTCGGGCGCCTCCAGTCTCGTGGTGGAGGCGCTGGGCTCGTATGACATGTCGGGGACACGTCTGTTCTTTTGGGACGCCAGCGCACAACAGGGCTCCTTGAGATTGCTCTGCAGATCCTTGGGACTCCTTGGGCTCCTCAACATACTCCTCGATACTCGTGGGATGCCGAAGGCATGCGCAGGACAATCCACTTTGGGAATACTTCGGAATCCTTGGAGCTGCCCTGAACTCCAACGGATGCGTACGCAGCCTGATTGCATTCCAGAAGAACTCAGAGGAACCCCAAGAATACTCCTGAGGACTGCACAGGCTCCCGCAGGGACACCTTACGGGCTGCAAGGAGAAGCATCATAGATCCCCTTGGCTTCCTTGGAAGCCATAAACGGGAATCGCTCGGGATCCTGAGGGGCCCCAAGGATGATGTTAAAGATCTTGGTTGGCCTCAAGCATCCGCAGGGGTCCACTAAAATCAATGGAGTCCTTGGGGTCCTTCAAGACCCATTGGTGTCACATCGGATCCCGAGAGCCCTGAAGAATCCTTCGGGATCCCTGGGAAGCGTGGAGGATCAGCATGGATCCTTAGACATCGGTGGAAATCCTGAGGGCTCTATCCTGGGATTGGAAAGGATCCCAAGGGACCGTCAAGAAGCGAAACGAATTCACCTACGAAGTGAGCTCCCGGACCTTCTCCTCCTCCACAACACCTCCCAAAGGAAGACAATCATAGAGAGTATGCCTCTGCGCGCAAAGTTCATCACCTCTGCCCAACTCGTCGTCACCGCCGCCGTCACCCATCTCACGAATGCCAGCGAAATCAAACGGAAGGCTGGATTCGACCCTTTCCCCTAGCCTGGCCGTCCTCGACAGTGAAGGGCACTCCGCAAAAGCCCGGTTTGCACACACACTGCCAGGTCGAGAGAATAACGGCTCCCTTGTAATAAGGGGCCCACTTGCACTCGGTTTCCCCGCGGATTGCGTAGCATTTGATGCCGTTGCACGTGCCACCCGTCCATGGTCGGCACTCGCACGAATCCGACGTTGAGCTGGCGCAGCTCGTTTGGTTTTGCCCATCGCTGCACTCGCAATGACCCAGATTCGGAACACCCAATGCTCGCCGAACGCTCTCTTCGTCCGCAATGCACTTGCCACCAGTAGGGCAATCCTTACCCTTGAAACCACATAGCGATTGATACGTCTCCGGGGCGAAAGAACGGTCACACTCGGGCATTATCACCCCTATCGGCAACAACATCGGTATATTTACTGTGCCGCTCACAGGTGGCATGGCCAATGATGCGCACAACGCCCAGGACAAGTGCGCACTCAACGACCGCATACTTATATGGGAGAGAGCGGCTTCTGTGTACGCCTCACCTTTGTAGACTCCCCATTCCCGCCCCTCTGGAACAGCACACTCCCTCCTTCCGAAAATCCCCCCTCCCTCTTTGGAACCATGACCTCAGCCTCCCCCCTGGCAGAAACTCCTTCCACCCATACCCTCCTCCCCCCAAAGTGTGGCAGGACGACAGGGTGTGATAGTCGGTCAGGCGGTGCGGCGGGACACGTCTCTGTCGTCCCCGTCGTCGTCGTCGTCGTCGTCGTCGTCGTCGTCGTCGTCGTCGTCGTCGTCGTCCTCGTCGTCGTCGTCGTCGTCGTCGTTTGCTGACGCCGGGGGGGGGGGTCTCGAATCCCCACCGGGAGGGGGTTGGACACGTTGACGTCGTCGTCCTCGTCGGCGGGTCGGCTGGGCGGGCGGGACACGTCGTCGTCGTCGTCGCCCTCGTGGTCGTCTACGTTTGCCGGCGCCACGGGCTGCAGAGGGCTCCTGCCCCCCACCCCCCGACGTTCACTCTCCAGGGGGCGGAGAGGGATGGCTCGACCCCCCCTGCTCTACCAGACTGTGAGGGGGAGGGCGGGTGAGATCGTACCCCCCCCCCAAGCGGCGTCCCCCCCCGGTGTGCACGGAAGGCGCTCTCTCTCTCTCTCTCTCGTGTCCTGCCTCGAGGCCGCTGCCCTCCCGGCCGCCAGGGGGTCTCCCGATGGGGAGGTTGGCGGAGCGAGCCCGGAAGGAGTGGCCGTGCACTGCTCGGAGCGAGGCTTGAGCCCAAAGCTCTACGTTTTTGACGAACGAAGAACACACGCCCATACCCATAGGGGGGCCGTTGGGAGGAGGACTGGCTATGGGTATGGGTGCGGGTTGTCGGACCCTGGAGAGCGCTCCCGTTCGAACGGGGACTCCCATCCGACAACACGCACCCATAGCCCTCTCCGACCCCCCTATGGGTATGGGTGTGTGTTGTTGGTTCGTCAGTTTTCGAGCGGCCGCCCAGCAGCTGCCGGAGGGAGCAGGAGCAGAGGGGGGTTTCTGCATGAGCGACTGGAGCCCCGGGGGAAGCGGGGCCTAGAACCCGGAGCGTTCACAGTTGCACTGTGGCCTGCTTTTCGGGACGGGAGGAGAGAATCGGAGGAGGAGGAGGAGGAGGAACTTCCTCACCGATCTCCTCGTGGCGCCCGCAGTGACAACTGGTCGAATGTCCAGGCCACCCGATGTGTTACAAATCAACTTCGCGTGCCATTCATTAACACGGTATGCACTCTCATCCGTGCCCCTCGGTCGATTCATGCGGCACTCACAATTGGATCGCTCGCTGGCCCTTCCACAGAGGGGGGAAAGAAAACGATATAGCAGGAAGAAGGACACCAGAGGAGCAGGAGAAGGAAGGGACTACGTTTCAGCCCCGATCTCCATTGCTAAACCGTCGCAGCTTGAAACTTCGACCCTATGATGCAAGATTTCTCGAGCGGGTCGACACCGAAGGGACCACGGGACCCGAGTCGGTGAGAGAACGCCCATCGTCATTTTCCCAAGACGCCCAGGGGATGGATCATGGGCCAACACGGACGAGGGGACACACTGATAAACGAGAGGGCAACGCCCGAGGTGACGGCAGAACATGCTGGGGAGATGACGGAGGAGGAGGAGGAGGAGGAGGAGGAGGAGGAGGAGGAGGATGAGGAGGAGGAGGAGGAGGAGGAGGAAGAGGATCATCGTGATGCGCACGCACGTGCACTCCTCAATCGCTGCTGCCGCTGTCCTCCTCACCAGCCAGCGCCATTCCGCTGGCGAGGGCCCTGGGCCAATGCTGGGCGGACCGCGACGGGTGCTCATCACTGGGCGAGGGCCCCAGGTACGGCCGAGGGGCAGATCGCCATCTGCCTACGAAGGGCTCTAAAAGGCGCGTGCTCTTCCTCGAGGCATTCTCGAGCTCACGGGGCGGAGGAACGCGCTGCCTAGACGGTCTGGCACCCGGCCACGGCCCGGCCTCCAGGGAGCAGAGGAGAGCACGCCTGGCCCTCCGACAGACCCTGGCCGAAACAGCATCGTGGAAATCCGTGCGTGGGGGAAGGGAGTGACGACAGCATAATCCCAGGGCCACGTAGACGCCTTCCCCACCACAACCCCGCGCAGGCACTACCTTGAGCTAAGAACGCCTCCCAATGGGTCCGAATTCGCTTTGGGCCCTGATCAAAATGAGACTCCGTCCAGACCGCGTGGACCTCGGCAGGGCCACGGGACCGCTGGGCCAGCCAAATCCCAACCCACAGGTCCCCTTTATGACCACGTGGGGCCTGCGTCCGGCCAAGATTTCAGTCGGACACGAAAGACTTTCAGTCGGTGACATACGCAAGTGGGCCGCTCGTCAGCTCCAGGGCCAGATACAACGCGAGAAGCTCGGCCCTAGGCACCGTTTGCCGTCGGCCCACGAGGGCCACGGCAGCACCGCAAAGAGGCCTCCATAGCAGACTCGAGCAAGGCTCCTGGACCATGAAGAACCACCGAAGCTCCGCAGCGTCTCCGTTTCGGGCCCGAGCTAAACTCACCACCCGAACCGTTGACGAAACGCAGAACTGTCGACCTCCACAAGCCGAACTCTGGCCCAGGAACCTGACCTCCCCCGCAAGAATCTCATGGCCGAACTCTGGGTTCTCAGGACACGCAGGGACCGCGAACTCCTTCCGAAGACCCCCCACCGGCCACAGCGCGGGCTCACCCTACTAGGTAGCCATGGCATGGGGGAGGAGAAAGCCAGCAGATGTCTGAAATCTTCGTGCCCGCAGTTCGCGGGACACGTCCAACCACGATGGGGTAAAATCTTGGCGCCACTTGCATGTCGGTCAGACCTCAGGGCAGTCATAGCCAGCCTCACGTTGACGAGCTCGCGGCCGTCGACCTCCAGCAAGTAAAGTGAGATTGGCTGACCATAAATGCGTATCCCCTTTCTTAGCCAATTAATCCAACCCACGAGACACCATCGTCACGTCAGCTCCTGCGCACAAGTCATAGCCCGCCTGGTGTCTCGCGGCATGCTGCCACAGCTTCGCCGTGCAATCCCCCATGACACCACCCAGGAGATCATCGTAGTTGGCCATCACTGCCACGCCAAATTCAATATCGCCGAAAGCAAGGGGAGACGGCTCCGCTGGGCCTTCTACTCCATGGCGCCTCCATACGTTGGGATCACGAGGCTCCCAGCCCGCCTGGATCACGGTCGCTTGCGCTGCACCAGCGTGGCCACGCACATCGGACCACTTCACTGGAATGTTAGCAAACTGAGGAAGACAAGCACGAACTTCACTCCACGCCCGAGGCACACGAGGTTGAAGACCAAGTTGTCGTAGCTGGACCACAATCCACTCCCTCAGTGCCTGAACGCGTAGGTCGACTCCAGGACCAGCCACGCCCATCGTGGCTTGCAAAACTGAAGTGAAACATCTCCCCCGCTTGGAACCAGCGAGCACCGCCGCAGCACCTTCACGTCGCCCCAGCACCTGCGAGGGAGGGGCACCGTGGACCTGGCGCCGGAAGTTGGCCGAGGGGTACACGCCAGTAATCCAAGGCTTCCTCGTAATGGAACGACTGCCAGACAGCGTCCTGTTGCGCAGAATTCTGCCATGCCGACGCCTGGATCGAGCCCGACGCCTGGACATCCTGGCGCGGGCCCTCCTTCTGCATCCATGCTGCATCTGTGCCGCGGTCGGCGGTGCAGGAGGCAAGCTCAACAGGGGTGCGAGGCTCATTCAGCTTCGTCCCCAGCTTTAGGCTGCTGGACTTTGCGGACGCAGTAAGCTTCGCCCAATAAGAGACCTCCACCCTGGCAACCCTAAACGCAGACGCCATCGTCGAACCCAGGAAACAACATATTCCGCGATTCCATGTCGATTTCCTGCCGCGCGGCCGAGGGCGGCGACAATGTAGGTCCAAAGCCCAGCAGGAGGAACCGCGCGGTGAGCGTGGTCGAGGATGCGACGCAACATGAGTTTGGCCAGCAATACTCCATGGGGGAGCCCGCAACAACCGACCTGGAGAAGGCCAGGTCACGAGACGCCAAGTTCTCACGCTCCAGCATGCGCGGGGCCGCGCGCCGCTCCACTTCCAGCAGCGCAGTGGTCGCTGGAAAGCCGCGGTCCATGGCAGCCTGCATGAGTAGCACGAAGCTCACCGAATCGTCGAATTCTAAATCAAGCAACAGAGTGGCGAAATCGAGCCCATTGCCAAGCCATCGAGAACTGATCGCGCCAGTGCCGTCCAGAGGGCAGACGTGCCCGCGGCGGCTGAGCCCCAGAATGCGACCACTCACTCGGGTCCTTGGACTTCAGCTTGCCACAGATCGTAGGCGTCGTGCCCAATGGCCCCAGGGCGCGGTCACGGCGCGACTCCTCGGGCATGGGCGCGCCAAACAGTGGCGAGGAGAGCTGTGGGCCACATGCCAGTGTATTCGATGAGATTCAAAAAGCTTGACTAACTCCGCCCTGCCTGTCGTCGCCTGGCTCTGGACGTCCTGAGGCCCGGGGCGTCAACTACCCGGGCCATCTTGGGGAGCGCAGCATCCACATCCGACAACTGACAAGGGGCAGAGGGTTGTCGCGATCAGCTTGCCAGCGCCCATCCATCAAATTCATGATATCCGTCGGCTCATCTGCAGAGTCCGCCCATCTGGCCTGCACCTCGAGTAGTCCGCGCGCATCGATCACGAGCTGCGGGTTGGAGGTGCGGAGGCCCTCTTGATCGCGACCATCGCCCAGGGGATGAGCCGCGTCCGACCCATGCCGACGAACCAACCCAGGAGATTCAGACTATGACTTGTTGGGCCAGGGCATGAAGAACGAGCGGGCCATCGTCATCGCTCGAGCTGCTGCCAGGTCAGCCCATTGACGCGTTTGGCCCAGCAGCTCGGGCAAATCGGCGACAGGGGCCAGCGCTAGATTAGACAGCGTGCCAATGCACAGAAAATCTGCTCATGCGTGATCTTCTTACCATAATACTACGGGGCATCA